GCTGAAAGTCAGCGATTTCTACCAAAGCTGGGCCAAGATAGGCTACCTTGAATAAAGAGGAGCATCTTCCCTTCAGTATCAAAGCACCAGTTTTAGAAAGCCACATGGCAGCTCAGCTCTCCTCGAAGTAGCTGGCAGCTCAAAGATGCCATTAAACCAGCAACTAATTTTCAGGATTTAAAACTCTGAATGGCCTTTCTGTAGGTTGTGGGAGTTCTTGTAATTGCTTTATAGGTGATAGGCTACCTTGAATAAAGAGGAGCATCTTCCCTTCAGTATCAAAGCACCAGTTTTAGAAAGCCACATGGCAGCTCAGCTCTCCTCGAAGTAGCTGGCAGCTCAAAGATGCCATTAAACCAGCAACTAATTTTCAGGATTTAAAACTCTGAATGGCCTTTCTGTAGGTTGTGGGAGTTCTTGTAATTGCTTTATAGGTCCTTTAGTAAGGAGAGAATTCTGCAGCTTGGACGTAAACCTTGGGAAAAAGAAGTAGTTTGTAGAGATTTGTTGCCTGCTGTGATGTTTTCCCGAGCAGGTCCAGCGAGCTGGGTTTGGGGGCGGGGAGAGGGTGGAAGAGCAAGCAGGGGAATGTTGTTGCTATCGTGATGCAAGTAATGAGAAGAGCTTGAGCAAATTCTCTGTTTTGCTTTGACTTTTTTTCTTTCTTGCTTGCTCTTGAACATCTGAAACTGTCGTGTGTGTGTGTCCTGTTCAATACTGAATTCCTATCTCTCACACTTTCAGGTGGGCATTCTAGAAACAACAGTGGAAGCTCTGAGTCCAGTCTTCCCAACATAGCCAGGTCTTTACTGCTGGTGGATCAGCTCATAGACCTGTAGCAGTGACACAGTAGCAGACGCAGTTTCTGTAACGTACCTAATCCTCCGTTTTCATTTCCAGAAGAGTTACCTTCAGTTGTGGTTCTTTTGGGCTTTTGGTTTTCTTTTAATTAAGGGGAAAAACAAAACAAAACAACCAAACACACCCAACCAAATCTGCCGGCAGGAGACAGTCACCCACCTTTCTCCCTGTCTTCCCGTGCCCTGGGAAAGACTCTGTCCCAGTTCTCCGGGTAGTCCTCGCTAAAGCTGGTACAAACCTGGTGTGGTTCCTTCTGCACCCGTCTGTAACAGCCGGTGTCTAGAGGGAGCACTGTCCTTAGCCGCCCTGCCGGGCCGTGCCCAGAGCACCGTGGGAAGCCTCGCTGTAAATGAAGTAGATCATTGTAGCTGATGTACGGGCCCTGCGTCCCTCAGGCTCCTTTCTCCTTAGAGCAGTGCGTGACCAACTGTGTTTCAATCTTTGCAGTTATGGGTTTGGTTTTGGTTCTGTTCCTGTTTTCTGATGAATGGGCAGGAGGAAGGGGACGGGGGAAATCGGGAGGGACGTCCCCCTCCCGCAGCATACAGGTTAGGAGAGCTGATGTTTCTAAATTGCCAGTATATGCTTCAGAGGAGGAGAAAGCACCGCGTTCCTCTGAAGTAGTCTTGCCTAGTACCTCTGGTGATGGTGCATATGAAGAGTTTTCCGGACTGCCCCCCCCCGCTAATGGTTTGCTGTTTAACAATCCTCCTTGTGAATGAACTGCACTTCCTTAGGGGAGGGTCAAAAAAAAGAAAAAAGAAAAGAAAAAACCAAAACCGATTGTTAAAGCTGCAGAAATGACCCGAAGTGAAACATAACAAGGTTTTGAACCAAATACATGTGAGTATGGCTGCGACTAGTGTTTTGTTGACCTTTTTTGGATGAAAAGGGCATTGTGGCGGCAGCAGATGTATTTTCTGTGACTTCTTTTCTGTGTTTGACTGGAGAAAAAAAAAAAAAAAAGGAAAATCTCCCCAACCTACTGTAAATTGTGTATGAAACAAATTGTCCTACGGTTGTTTGTCTATTTTTAATCCTGGTTTTAGTCAAGCATCTGGTATCTGTTCTGGGTTCCCCATTTTCTTCTGTAACTGCATATAGTGCAAACCAGTTAAGTATGGAACCATTTGTTTCAGTAGGCGAAGATTACTGTGGACTTTACTCCACTCCTCAGTCTTTGTGGAACAAGCATGCACTTGGTTCAGGTGGTTTGAAATCAGTGCTGCTGTAACTTGGTGGGGTTTACCTTTTCTTTTTCCCTTCACGTGCTTAGTTTGTCAACTAGCTGGATACGCTAAACTTGTTTTCATCAGCTTATGGTCATGAAGTCCGGAATTTCTATCTTGTATTTGAAAGCCCTTTCTGAACAGAAGGACTCTTCCTCTGTAGTGGAATAATTACTAGCTTACTGCTAACCTTGTGTATGTGTATGTAGCCGTATTAGTAAAGTGCAGTTTCCCATGTGCGAAAGTATGAACGACTGAAACGTGTATGTACTGACCTCTCGCTAAGAAGGAAAGAAATCAAAGTTCGTGACTCCTCCTTTCCTATCTCCAGTCTCTCTGCTATTCCCCCACCCCAACACTTAGTTTAACAAATTCTGTAAATAGAACTACCATCGATTGTGTCTGCTCTACATTACTCTTCTTTTAAAACCTACACTTAATAATAAAAGTATTGCTTAAGTGTGTTGTATCATTACATGTGTATACTGCACTTTCCAAGAGAAGCTTTACATGAGAACTATGGAAATGACCTTAGTAAAATTGTGGATAGAACTTTATTATTTTTTTGTTTTATATTCCTAAAGCACAGGCAAGCTGGACTGGAAAACAAGAAGACGTTATAGATAGAAAGTTATTGTATAGTCAGATACTGAGATTATATGAAAAGAGAATGGATTTTAAAAAGTAACCATCTACTGTATATTAGAAACAAAGATTTCTGTGAATTAAAGTACTTTTAAAGAATGTTTAAGATTTTAAATCTAATGGCGCTTGTTCAAGGGTTCTGGAAAAAAAA